CACTTCGCGTTAGTTGGGTTCCGTCCATACTCATAGAAGTCATCATGCTCAGGCACGGGAGGGGGCAAATGGTATGCCATCCGTATCGCCTCAACAGATGCATTTACCGCCTTGCGGTGCACTGTGACCACACTATTGTCATGCTCAGGCGGATTAGCGTAAAACTCCCGCACAACCATTGTATTGGCCTCCCCTGGCTCGTTTATAAAGTTCTGCAGCCCCCGCCTTAACAACTCCGTGTACATGTGAGGGCATTTCTGCTGGAGTGAATTCATATCATCCCCCTCTCCAGAATCCGCTGTTTAGTGGCCTTCTCCGCAAAGCGGCCTTGAGCCGCGACTGAGACAAATTTGCTACTGTCAAAAGGAGGTGCATGTGCTGCCCCCTGTGTCCTGGGTGCTTCGGCTTGGCTGCTTGATGATGGACCTGTGGAACGGCGCTTTCGCGATGGTGCCATAATACCTGAAAAATGGGGCTACATTATCAAGGTTTCACACAAAGATGTGACACACTGCGGTTACTCAGACTTCACCCGCGTGAGTGGTCACAACTACATAGTAAAGGTCATTGAGGCCTTTCCACTAACACCTTGTGGGCATTAGGCTTGCACAACCCTTTTTAAGAATTTTATAACATGAGTCCACCATAAAATCTCATCAATAGCACAAATCTAATACCACCCACCCCACACTTACCACCCACCAACACCACAGCATAGTCTTCCAATTCCTCCACATAAAAAGCAAAGAACAACTACTACACAACACATTGGACTACAACCAAAAATCTAAAAAAAAAAATTAAGAAGAGAAATAAAGAAGAAATTGCAACTAGGGCTCATACCTGTGGTGTGGATGGTGGTGAGTAGAGAGAAGACGTGTGTGTGAGCTTGGTAGGAGGAGTGAAATTGTGAGATTGGGGGGAGAGGGAATAGTGAGATTTTGGAAGATGGGGGAAGTGGTTTGGGAGATGGGGGAATAGTTTGGGGAATGGGGTTTGTACGTTGGGGGCTTTGGGTTAGGCTAAAGGGGAAAAAGGAAAAATAGAAACATAATAATAAATAAATAAAAACTTTAAACGACCCCAATCCAGTGATTTCTTGGGCGGGACTAGCGCGAACACTAGCGCGATCGCGCTAACTTCGCGCTAGTCCAGGCAGAATGTTACGCTTTTAGCGCAAGCTCTAGTGCGAACACTAGCGCGTTCGCGCTAGTTTGTGCAGCTTAGGAAGAATGTCGCCAGTTAGCGCGAACTGTACCGCGATCGCGCTACTGGGCAACACGTTTTTGCACTTTTTCACCTGTGTTTACCATGGTCGATGGTCTTTTCGCCTGCCCTTTGTCACCTGCATTGGTTAGCATGCTACAAAACATACAAATAACACTACAACTATTGTTGGGTTGCCTCCCAACCAGCGCCTTAGTTATTGTCGTGGCACGACGGGTACAACAATTCAATGGGTTGCCTCCCATCCAGCGCCTGATTTAACGTCGCGGCACGACTCAACACGTTGTCAAGCATCTGACAGGTCCATCGAGGTCTTGTGACGTGCAACATCACCACCTCAATAATGTTTTATCCGCTGGCCATTTACCAAGAAGGTATCATTGGAGCTCATATCCCGCAACTCCACAGCTCCATGAGGCTTCACACTTACCACAACGAAAGGGCCTGACCAACGATATTTAAGCTTTCCGGGAAAGAGCTTCAACCTCGAATTGAATAACAGCACTTCTTGCCCCGGCTCAAACTCTCGATGTTGGATGCGTTTGTCATGCCACCTCTTAGTCTTCTCTTTGTACAATTTGGCATTTTCATAGGCGTGCAATCGAAACTCATCAAGCTCGTCGAGTTGTAGCAACCTCTTCTCCCCAGCTAACTCCATATCCATGTTCATCTTTTGAATTTCCCAATAGGCTTTGTGTTCAAGTTCGACGGGCAAGTGGCATGTCTTCCCATAAACTAATTTATACGGAGAAGTACCTATGGGAGTTTTGTATGCATTTCGATATGCCCATAATGCGTCGTCGAGCTTTCCAGCCCAGTCTTTTCTATTTCCATTCACTATTTTCTCCAGAATTTGCTTCACCTCTCTCTTTGACACTTCCACTTGACCACTCATTTGGGGATGATAGGCCGCGGCAACCTTGTGCTTGACACCATATTTTGCAAGGATATTATTCAGCAAATAAAAGTGCGTTCCTCCATCACTTATCAACACGCGTGGAGTTCCAAAGCGTGTTAAGATGTGCTTCTTTACAAAACTCACCACTACCTTGGCGTCATTAGTGGGAAGAGCAATGGCCTCCACCCACTTAGACACATAATCAACTGCCACCAAGATGTACCTGTGCCCATTAGAGTATGGGAATGGTCCCATGAAGTCGATTCCCCACACATCAAATAGCTCTACTACCAGAATATTCTGCAAAGGCATCTCATGCCTCTTGGTGATTGTTCAGGTTCTTTGGCATCTATCGCACATTTTAACAAAGGCATGTGCATCCTTAAACAATTTGGGCCAATAGAAACCTGATTGTAGAACTTTCTGGGCGGTCCTATCTCCCCCGTGATGTCCTCCGTATGGTGACGCGTGACAGTCATGCAATATTGCATTCATCTCTTCTTCTGGAACACATCTTCGCACCAACTGATCTGTGCATAGCCGGTATAAGAATGGCTCATCCCACATATAAAACCTCACATCATGTAGAAACCTTCTTCTATTATCGGGTGTCAATTCCGGTGGTGTCACCCCACTTGCAATGAAATTCACATAATCTGCATACCACGGGGCTTCATTTGAGGTGATTGCCAATAACTGCTCATCAGGAAATGTTTCCTTGATAGACCCACCTTCAGCTTCATGGCTCCGATTTTCTAACCTGGACAAGTGATCAGCCACTTGGTTCTCTGTCCCTTTTCGATCTCGGATTTCTAAGTCAAACTCTTGCAAGAGAAGGACCCAACGAATCAGTCTCAGCTTGGCGTCTTTCTTCTCAAACAAGTATCTGATAGCTGAACGATCTGTGTAGACGATGACTTTGGTCCCCACTAAATATGATCTGAACTTGTCAAACGCCCACACCACTGCAAGCAACTCTTTATCAGTAACTGTGTATTTCATCTGGGCTGGATTTAGAGTTTTGCTCGCATAGTAGATGGAGTGAAAGATTTTATTTCTCCTTTGCCCCAAAACAGCTGCAATAGCTATGTCACTCGCATCACACATCAACTCAAAGGGTTGCTCCCAATTCGGGGCAATGATAATTGGTGCAGTCACTAGCCTTCCCTTCAGCTCCTCAAATGCTTTCAGACAGGCATCATCGAACTTGAAGGAGACATCTTTCTCAAGCAACCTACACAACGGAGAGGAAATTTTCGAAAAATCTTTAATGAAACGACGATAAAAACCTGCATGGCCCAAGAAACTGCAAATGCCTTTGACGGACGTTGGTGGGGGCAATTTTTCAATCGCTTCCACCTTTGCTTTGTCCACCTGCAAATCATTTTTAGACACCTGGTGCCCCAATACTATACCTTCACGTACCATGAAGTGGCACTTTTCCCAGTTTAGCACCAGGTTTGTCTCTTCACATCTAGCAAGTACTTTATCGAGATTCATTAAGCAGTTAGCGAAAGAGCACCCAAACACAGAAAAATCATCCATGAACACTTCTACAAATCTTTCAACCATATCAGTAAAAATAGCCATCTTACACCTTTGAAAAGTCGCAGGTGTATTACAGAGACCAAAGGGCATTCTCTTGAACGCATACGTGCCATATGGACACGTAAATGTGGTTTTCTCTTAGTCCTCTTGGGCTATAGCAATCTGATTATACCCGGAGTAACCATCTAGGAAACAGTAGTATTCCTGGCCAGCTAATCTATCAAGCATTTGGTCAATAAAGGGGAGAGGGAAGTGGTCCTTTCGGGTAGCATTATTTAATTTTCGGTAATCTATACAAATCCTCCACCCAATGACAGTTCTTGTGGGAATCAAATCATTATTTTCATTAACAACCACAGTCATCCCCCCCTTCTTAGGTACGCATTGAACGGGGCTTACCCATTTGCTATCTGAGATTGGAAATACAATACCTGCGTCAAGCCACTTAATCACTTCTTTTGTTACCACTTCTTTCATGATTGGATTGAGTCGGCGTTGTTGCTCTACACTGGGCTTATGTCCGTCCTCCATGAGGATTTTATGCATGCAAAAAGCTGGACTAATGCCTTTGATGTCAGACATTGTCCACCCAAGTGCTCGCTTGTTCTCACGTAGCACCCTCAACAGCTTCTCTTCCTGCAATTTAGACAATTCAGAAGAAACAATAACAGGTAAGGTGTCAGAGTCACCCAAATAAGCATATTGAAGGTAAGGGGGCAACGGTTTAAGCTCCAATTTTGGCGCCTCCTCAATTGACGGTTTGGGGGGTGGCCCATCTGGCCTATTCAAGGGCCCAAAGGGGTGTATCCCATGCATGTAAGCACAAGATGTATCCAGGATGTGTATCATCTCCTCAACCTCCTCATCGTTTCCCATGCTATTGAACAACATAAGTGCTTTCTCTAGAGAGTCGTCTAGATATACACTCGTGTCAAGAATTTGCTCATCAACCTCAACAACGGAGATCATTGAGAGCTCCTCATAATGGCGGGGGAGTTGGATTGCTTTGTACACATTAAAGACTGCTTCCTCATCATCCACCCTCAAAATTATTTTTTCCTCTCTCACTTTAATGATTGCATCGCCAGTAGCCAAGAGAGGTCGCCCCAATATGATTGGGCCAGTTCGTCAGCCTCATAATCCAGGATAATGAAGTCAGCTGGGAAGATAAATTTTCCAATTTGCAGCAACACATCTTCAATCACACCCTCGGGGTGTGCTATTGATCTATCAGCCAGCTGCAACATCACAGTAGTTGGCCTTGGAGCTCCCAGGCCCAATTCTTGAACAAAGATAAGGGCATCAGATTTATACTCGCCCCCAAATCGCAAAGAGCATGACCCATATCAATATTACCAATGCGCACCGGAATGGTGAAACTGCCAGGATCCTTAAGCCTTTGAGGAAGCTTGTTCTGGACCCTTGAGGTGCACTCCTCAGTAATTGCCACTGTCTCAAATTCATTCAATCTTCTCTTGTGAGCCACTATATCCTTTATGTACTTAGCATACTTTGGAATTTACATCAACAAGTGGAATATTTAATTGAACCTGGCTCAACATGGAGAGAAATTTGCTGAACATACGATCATCATTCTTTTTCTGCAATCTCTGGGGGAAAGGTGGTGGTGGCCTTGTAGCCTCCACTGGCTCTGGAATTGCATCAGTATTCTTCGATTCATGAGTTTCCTTCGGTATCAACTCCCCCTCG